TGAGCGGAGCCCGGCCGTGGTCTGCGTGCCCGCAGGGGTGGTGAGCATCGGGGAGCACAACGTCCAGGAGCTGATCGTCGCCGCCGACATGCTGCAGCTCACCGAGGTGGTGGAGCTCTGCTGCGAGTTCCTGAAGGGGCAGATCGACCCGCTGAACTGCATCGGGCTCTTCCAGTTCTCCGAGCAGATCGCCTGTCACGACCTGATGGAGTTCACCGAGAGCTACATCCACGCGCACTTCCTGGAGGTGCAGAGCGGCGAGGAGTTCCTGGCGCTGACAAAAGAGCAGCTGGTTAAGATCTTGCGAAGTGAGGACCTAAGCATCGAGGACGAGTACCAGGTTTTCAAAGCAGCAATGCAGTGGATTTTGAAGGACGTGGGAAAAAGGAAGAAACACGTCGTCGAAGTACTGGAGCCTGTTCGGTTCCCTCTGCTGCCGGCACAAAGGCTGTTAAAATACATAGAAAGTAAGTGGAAGAAGGAAAGGAAAACTATCAGATGCTTGTATCTGAGCAAACCATGAGCAGTTCATTTACTGGATTCTGATGGGGTTTTTTTAGATTAATAGCATGGTGAGTGAATTTATTTTATAGCAAACAAGTCCTATTTTCTAACAAATAAAACATCTTTCTTTAAAAGCATGCTTTTGAAAGTCTTATAAAAGTAGGCAATCTTGATTTGTATGCTGTTTTAGGAGAAAGTTGCAACTTTTCTTTAGCTGAGTTACTTAATGACGTAACTTTTCACTGTGCCTTTTTTTATTCTACTTCTTCCCTCAAGGTATTCCAGATTTTAGCCTTCGGGTGGCCCTGCAAACGCTGTTGAAAGAATATTGTGAAGTCTGTAAATCTCCCAAAGAGAACAAGGTCAGCAGTTTTCTGCAAGCTTCTAAAGGTCGTCCCCGGAGGAAAGCCAGGAAGTACCTTTATGCAGTAGGTTAGAATGTGTCTGTCTGAACCTTAAAAAACTAATGATGAAGTAGTATCTCATATTACAGTACTCAAGGACATACAGGTTTGTTTGTTTTTAATCAAAAGATATAAAACCAGCAAAATATTTCATCTGGCTGAGTTTACTGAGTTTGCTGATTTCTGCATAGAATTACACAGAGGGGCAGCAATCACGTCTTGTGTCCTTATGACATGGCATTCAAAGCCTCCATTTGCCCTTTAGAAATTATTTGCTTTGGATGTAAAATCTGGAAATCAGCAGAGGATTTTCCCGTGATTCACTGCTGGGATGGTGTATGCAAATTCACTGCACTCCTTGTTCTTCTGGAGGTGGAAGTTTTTTCTGTGCAGAATGTTTTGGTTCGTGTGACTGGACACTTGAAACTGCAAGTTTTCAGGAAAGCTGCAGCTTTGTATTGGAACAGAAAACTCGTTTCAACCTGTGGGAAGTAACACTGACTTCAGATCGCAAAGGCTGTTGGCTGGTCTCTGTTTTACCAAGGACACAGATGGTTATATTTCCAGTGGTGTGGTAGTCAGCTCAGGCACAAGTTACAAGATCCTCAAGGTGACCATTGTTCCCTGTGTACGGGAGAAACAATACTACTTTGAAAAGTCCAGTTCCTACTAAAAGTATCTCATGGGTGTTACTGTAATTTTTTCAATATAGGAGCATGGGGATGAGCAGGAAGCTCTTGGTCACCAGTGATCTTTCCACTTACTTTTAGGTGGGTACACCCGACTGCAAGGAGGACGGTGGACTGACAGTAGAGCTCTCAGCTGTGTGGAGCGATTTGACACCTTCAGCCACTACTGGACCACAGTGTCCTCTCTCCACCAGGCCCGGAGTGGGCTTGGTGTGGCTGTGGTGGGAGGAATGGTCTATGCCATTGGAGGTAACAGCTAAAACATGTTTTCTTTGTTACGTGCATGCTCATGAATGGAGATTTTGTAATTTTTTCTTCCGCTAAGTGGTTCTGAGGAACCCAACAGTAGATAAGACAACTTTTAGATACAGTAACAATTTAATTAGGGTTCCATGGTCCTCTACCATCACTGCTCTGTGACTGCCTGTTTGGGCTCTTCTGTTGGCCATTTTTTACCAAGCTTCTCTCTATTCATGGTATAGCAACACAGGTAAGCATATGGATGTGTGCAGATGTTCTAAGAGACGTTTGATATTCTGCAGACTTTGTGTACCACCACTAGTAGCATTTCCTTTCTCACTTGTAGTCTAGCAAAAGTCCACAGCATAAAAGGCAGTCATACAGGCCAGACCACTTGTCTGCCCACCTGTAAAGGCTTATTATGTATCTCTACACAGGGATGTAATGAGTAACTCTACTAGCCCATCATTAAAGAATATATGCTGGTTTTGTCACTGCAAAACACAGTCTTTGGTCTTGAAAACCCTGTTAGTTGTGCTGTGAAGTAAAAAGTGTGTAGCACTGTGTTTGTTCACCCCTGTGAAGTTTTCAGTAATGTTTCAAGGAACTGTTGATGGAAGCTGTTCCCAGTGGTGGTTCAGTTCTAGGTATAAACAAAGCTTTTGCTGTTTTGGCTGTTTGGTTGAAAGAAAAATCCTGTATTTAAATGTTGTTTGTCCTGGAAGGAGTCAACAAATGCTTCCATATCTGCAGTACAAAACTTTGCATATCCCCTGTCTCTGTTCTTGCTCTTATTACTCAGGTGAGAAGGACTCAATGATTTTTGACTGTACTGAATGTTACGATCCTGTTACTAAGCAGTGGACCACTGTGGCTTCCATGAACCATCCCCGTTGTGGACTGGGAGTGTGCACATGCTATGGTGCTATCTATGCTTTGGGTAAGTTCGTTCTTTTCTAGGTGAAGTTAATTTTAAAGGTGTTAATTCATGGGACTTGTAAATTAATTTGATCTTAACTATCACAACTTAGTGTTGCAAATTTGCTGACTTAAGTTATGAAAACCAACGGTTTTCATGAGCATTGGTGTTACCAAATCTTTGTGGATTAGTTATTATTCAGTTACAACTTATTTTCATTGTAGATTGCAAGGTGGTTTCAGAATTAGGCTGTCCTGAAACAGTGCACCATATGTCTGAAAATGCAGCTGACACACAGTTTCACACCACTAAATTCTTTCCTGTGTTTGCTGTTATTTGCAGGAGGTTGGGTTGGAGCAGAGATTGGCAACACAATTGAAAGATTTGATCCTGAAGAAAATAGTTGGGATGTGGTGGGAAGCATGTCTGTGCCACGCTACTACTTTGGGTGTTGTGAAATGCAAGGTGAATATTGATAAGTCTCTGTCCATAAACAGTTCCAAAAGCCATTTGATTTTGAAGCTTTGTATTTCAGTCATGAATTGTTACCTTTGTTTTGTACTGTGCTGTCAGCTGCACAAGCTTGTGCCTTGCTTATTTGTCCTTCTAGTACCATATTTTTAATTCTACAGAACTCAGAGACAAGTTCACTTTGTCTTCTGCCTTTTATCTCATGAAATCAGTTTTTATGTGTCTGCCAGTATGGTTATCTAGCTAGCAGTATCAACTGTTAAAGACTTTGATTTACTTCCCATGTTTGGGTTTGCACGTGTCTTTGTGACAATCTGAAGAGTTGTTGCAGGTTATTTTAAGACTGAGATGTCTAAGGACTTGAGCTATAAAGGTGCTTATTAAGCATTTGATCCAGAACAGGTCAGCAGTTGCAGCCTTCTGAATTCTCTCCCCTGCACTTGATTAATTAGGGCTTTCATCAGAGCTTCTAGTGCTTAAGCCTTAAGTTATTCATTTGAAAGCTTTCTGTATGCTACTACAGAACAAATGGAAGACATTTATCTGGCATTCTTAAACCGTCTTAAATGTCAGGCTGAAACTTGTATTGCAACAAACATTTTCTCTCTTTTGATTTTTGATTTTTTATTATGAAACCTA